TGGTGATAAGTTTGTTATATTTAGGAACAGAAAGGAATCCTGTGTATACGGGGTTGAATTGTGTCCCCCCAAATCCATGTTCACTTGGAATCTCAGATTGTGAATGCACACGGAAATAGCATCTTTGGAGATGAAATCGAGTTAAAGTCAAGTCATAGTGGATTTATGTGGGCCCTAATCCAATAGCCAGTGCCCTTATAAGAAGTGAGAAATTTAGGTACACTCACACACGGAAAACGGCCATGTGAAGCCAGAGGCAGAGATTGGAGTGCAGCCATAAGACAAGCAACCTCAAGGATTTCCAGCAACCACCAGAATCTAGAAGAGTCAAGGAAGGATTCTCCGCTGGAGCCCGCAGAGGAAGTGTGGTTCTGTGACACCTTGATTGTAGACTTCTGGCCTCCAGAACTGTGTGAGAATAAATTTCTGTTTGTTTTAAGCCATCCAGTTTGTGGAACTTTGTTGCAGCAGCCCTGGGAAACAAATACACCATGTGATGGGTTCACTGTACGTGTGTAAGAGAGGAGGGGAGATAAGTAGCCAGAATTTGGGTCATGCAGTCCTTGGGGACAACTGCAAAGAATCTGGATTTTATTCTTAAGTGTGATAGGAAAGTTAATCACTACAGTTCATCATATTCCTCAACCACAGACAGAGTCAGATGAGGAAACATGAAAGCTTTGGTTGGAGCATCGCATACCAGGTGAAATCCATCACCTGAGACCCAAGAATATCACCAAGTGAGAATGAGCTGTAGGACCCCCTCCTTAAAATATCTTTGGCCCAGAGAAAGAAGGTAGCTGAGAGGCCACCTGCTGAGACCCTCAGATGTGCAGCTTGTTTTGAAAACTGGTTATTACCTTGATGCTTTCCCTTTCCATGGAAGCCAGGCTCCATCCTGCCCTGCACCTGTCCAAGTGTCTGCTGCTAATTAAGAGAGAGACAGATGGAAAAAGGTAGAGTTTAATTTTACAGCCCCAGTTCCTTCAAGGCAATTAGGCTCATTGGAAGGAAAGCACCTTTTTTCTTTCTTTTCTCCTCTTTTTTAAATGAAGAAAAATCAAACTGGAGAAGGCCAGTGTTGTTGAAAGGCTCACACATCTGTTTCCTGGTTGGCTTGTCAGCCACCTGCCCATGAGATACTGTGGCTGATTAGGTTAATGCATTTACTAATGGGGCTTATAAGACAGTTCAATGAATCTGTTATTTTTTTCACAAGGAACTTTTTAATATGCTAAGACAGGGACCACACTGCACAAATCCTGGAGTGGCCGGGTAAGCATTTCTTCTCCCTCATCTGGCTCCAAATCAGAGGGGACCAGAAACGCTGTGGAAAGGGAGTTTCATGAAAACCGTGTTTCCGGGTTAAGGGAATGATTCATTTGCATAATCTCCAACCACTTCCTTGTTGTCGAAAGAATCCTGGAAATGTCTCTTTGGAGGACAGTCTCGTGCTTTAGGCACCAAATCTGTGCCTGTGCTGTAGTTCTATAAAACACCTCGGAGTCCCATGGAGGTAGACTGGTCAGACAAATAAATAGGTGGAATGACAAAATCTTGCCTCCTGGATGCTAGATGATCTGGTGACACTCTGCTTTCTTCACTCTACCACACAGATCTCCTTTCAGTTTCTTGAGGCTACTATGTTCCTTCCCACCTCAAAGCTTTTGCAAAGGCTGTGGTGCATCAGTTATTAACTGCTGCATAAAACTACCCCAAAGCTTAGTGACTTAACATAACCACCAATTATTGGGATCATGATTTTGGGTCAATTGCGCAGTTCTTGTTTGGGCTGGATTGGCTGCTTTCAGTCAAGCTTTCAGTGTCTGTGGTCAGCTAACATGTTGAATGACAGCTATAAGGTATGGGATGGCCTCACTGGATATATGGCATTTGACAGGCCGTAGGCTTTGGTGAACAGGGGTAACTGGCCTATGGGATTCTCATGCTCCAGGAGGCTAGCCTGGACTTCCTTCTTCATGTGGAGGCAAAGTTTCAAGAGGCTGATATGAGAAGCTGTTACAATCTCCTGGCCAAAGTCAGCCACAAGGCCAGGACAGATTTAAGGTGTGTGGAAATAGACTCTACCTCCTGATTGGAAGAGCTGCAAGGTATTATGTGCATTCTTGCAACATACCGTGTGTTCCCTTGCCCGGACTGCTCTTTCTGCTACCTGTACTCTTCACCTTCAGATCTCAGCTTAAAGAGCTCTTCCCCAAGGAAGGCTTCCCTGACTGCCACCCCACTACGAATGAGATCAAGGCCCCTTCGTATGCCCTCTCACGGAGTAAACTAGGCACTCAGCAAACATGGGGAGTGGGAGGAAGGGAGAAGGATGAGGAAAAGGCAGGTTGTTTTGGATGAATGCCTCCTTTGTGCTTAGCAGGTTGCCTGGCACAGAGTAAGTGCTTGATCAGTGTCTGCTGAATTTAATTCAGTGCTTCTGTCATAAGCCAAGGGGTACATAAAATGCATGTATTGAACAGTTACTATATTCAAGGAATGCTGCTGTGTAGCTTGTGTATCTCATATAATTTATGCCTTGCAATAAACCTGCGAGTAGTTAATATTATCCCCATTTCACACCTAAGGAAACAGGTATGAGGGGTTAAATGGCATTCCCAAGATCTCATAAACCCAGATCGGTCTGATTCCAGAACCCACAGACTTTCTTGTCCACATCACTCTTGCCCCAAGTACCGAACACTTTCTGTGCCCAGGAAGTGCCCAATACCAGGTTCACTGAGAGACCAAATCAGGTTTAGGTACGGAGGAGGGTGTGGATTCCTCTTCTGGGGTTTCTCTTCCCATCTGCACTGGTATAGCAAGAGTTGAATGCATCTGTGTCCACTTTTCTTTAGAACTTTCTGGGAAGACATCACCTATTCCAGCTGCTGGGATGTCTAATTGATAGTCAATTTTTTTTTTCCACTTGTCAGAATCAGGAATTTTTGAATGCATCCTTGCTCTGTGCAGACCTTAGACTAGTCCAATATCTAGAAAGAGGAATACAGGAATGAATGATTCTGGATTATGGCTAGGCACATACTGTGAGCAAGAGAGATTTTCAGTAAGAGATGACTGGGGAGAAAGCAGGAAAGGAGCTTCCACCCCAAGTATTGGCTGATTTTCTCCTCTGTGCTCTCATGGTATTTGGTCATACATCCATTCATCAAATATGCAGTGAGTACTTATTATCTACCAGAAACTAGGCTGGTCATTGCTTATGTAATGGTGGGCAAAAGTCAGACCTGGCCTTGCCTCATTGGAACTGTAGTAAGAAAGATAGAAAATAGTGAGCGAACTGCGGAAGCAGGTGTAAAATGGTGGCTATGACAAGTGCCACGGAGAAGAGCCCGTTATGGAAGGATCTGACCTTGTCAGCCTTCCTAGAAGGGAAGAGTACCTGAGGCAGCTGAGGATAATGGGTAGGAGGCGGGAGGCCCCTTATCTTCAGTTCTCTACAAAAACTACATGCTGGCACTGTGATAAACGCTGGGGTTCTCAATCCCAGCTGCTTATTAGAATCACCCAAGGGACTTAAAAAATTCTGTCTGGTCCACGTCCTCAGAGATTCTGATTAAATAGGTTTGGGGAGGGCTCCAGGTATTTGAGTCCTGAAAACCTTCCCCACGTGATTCCTAGTATTGCCAGGATTGAGAACCACTGAGCCACACAGATGGAAGAATAAGGTTCCTGCTCTCTGAGACCTCATGGTCTAGTGGGAGACAAGTGTGAACGTAAAAAAATTATCAAGCAGCATAGTCAGTGTTGTGATGGGAAGGGCAGGAGTTGCCTGAGGGAATTGGGGGCCACACCTTAGCTGTGTTTGGAACAATGAGTGACTGAGGCTGGTGTAAATGAAGGGGTCAGATGCTTAGCTCAAACATCTGGCCCTTAGACCAGATCAGGGACTTCATTATAAATACTCATAAGACTGGGTAGTTCTCTTTCATAGTACTTATCGTATCTATACGTTTAAGTCATTTGTGGGATTATTTGGTCACTGTCTGTCTCTCCCTGATGTATATTAAGAAAATATTTTTATAATTATTCCAAATTCCAAATTGTAAAGAAAGGCTTAGATCGAAAGATTCTCATCTCAGCCTTGTTTGTAATAAGAAAAATATTGTCACAACCTAAATGTTCATCAATAGGGGGATTGATTAATTTTGACAGCTCCACTCGAAATGTTATGGAGGCATTAAAATGCTGTTTATTAGTAACTTATAACAACATGGAGAAATGCTTGATAGAACATTACCTGAGAAATTGAAATGAAGTTATTTTTAATGATGATAATAATGGTGGTGGATATCCTTTCACTTTATACACATTGGATCATTTAACCCTCGAAACAACCCTATGAAATATACTTTTTTATCATAGCCACTTTCCTTATGCAGAAAGTTAAATAATTTAGCCAAAGTTGCACTGCTAGTAGGTGGCATAGTTGGGATTTAAACACAGATCTGTTCAGCTGCTAAAAGTAAAGACAAAAGAGAACAAACCGACCAAGAAAAATCCCCAATTAAGCTCTGTTTATGAAAAAGACCAGAAGAAAATACACCCGGAAGTTGACATTGGCTGTTTTGAGTGGTAGGGGATCGATACGAATATTTCTCAACATGGTCAATATTTTCTCTAATGAAGAAATGTATCATTTTAACAGTGAAGAAACAATGCTTGAATTTTGTAGGGCAGCCAAGGGTGGCGGAATGATAGGAGGGACTGTGGTGGGACAAGTGTTTGTTTAGGGAGAATCCAGAGATTCCCGTGGGGATGCCCTCCGCCCTCTTGGTCCTGCTCTTGTTTGTGGAAGGGATGTGATGCTGCCATTCCCTCTGTCTTGTTCCAGGTGGAGTTTCTAATGTGTCTTGTTTGGATTGTTGACCCAGTCTAATGCTGCTCTCAGGTTGACCTGCCAATCCCTAATTCTCTCTCCTCTCTCTCTCCCTCTCTCCTCCCCTTCTTCATCCACCTGTCCTCCCACTGCACAGCCGACAAGGTCAATGATGACTTCTACTCCAAGCGACGGCACCTGGCTGAGCTGGCAGCCAAGGGGAACCTACCTCTGCACCCTGTAAGAGTGGAGGATGAGCTTCCCCGCTTCAGCCCTGAGCATGGTCCAGCCAAGCAGAATGGACAGAAGTCTCGCACCAACAAGATGCCCCCCCACCCCCTGGCCTACAACTCCACCACCAACTTTAAGGGCTGGGACCCCAATGAGCAGTCTCTCCGGCGGCAGGCTTATGGCAACAAGGGCAAGCTTGGGACGGCCGAATCGAGCTCCAGTGACCCCTTGGGAACTCGCACCCAGCACTACCCACCCCCACAGCCATACTTCATCACCAACAGCAAAACAGAAGTGACTGTCTGAGCTTTCTCTACAGAGAGCACCCTGGAGACCACACTCAACTGAGAGAGGCAAAAAAATATCCCAGCCCACACCTTCCCTGTCCTCCTTCCACACACGTACCCACACACTCACTCTCCACAAGAACCCACTATAAACCAACTGGTGACACGGAATCATGCCTTTCCTGGGTCATGCCTGACACGTGTTAGTGGGCAGCTGAGGAAGACCGAAGCATGGACATTCGGCAGTACAGCAAAGGGGAAACTGAGGCACAGTCTTTCAACTTCAGGCCCAAGGTGGCCAACTCCTGTGCCCAAAACTGTGGGGCTAATTATTCTTTCCCTCTGAACTTGTACCTGAAGTCCATGATGAAAAAAAGAAATAGAAGTAGCACAATTTAGAGAAATTGTCCATTTGAGCACATATACCATTTGCCACGTGCTGTCTGTTTCTGGATAAAAGAGCTGGGGAACAGCGGGGGTGCGGAACGAGAGTGGATACAAGAGAAGGGTGTCCTTCAGAAGAGGAGTTGTTTGGGGAGGAATTTGCCCATATGATATGCATTTTCTAATCCCAAGAAGTGGTGATGTGGATGCGAAATTTTGATAAGCATGAGGCAGAAACTGGACCCCAACCATTATATTTATAGGACAGTTCATATCATTGATGTTGAAAGCAAAAAACAACACATACTCAAACTCAGAAAAAATAGACTCTGAACCCACCGACAGTGATGGGAAGGAAAGAAATTTTAGAGAACTCCCATAAAGATTATGACGATGGAAATGGGAGGGACAGACTTGTATGGCAGAGAGAGGGTCCAGAAAGTATTCAATAACTTTTTTTAAAAAGGGGGGATAAAATATAAGCCCACAACAAAACATACAAGAACAGCAAATTCATTTTTTGTCCCAAATCTTCAAGACTTAGATGAACAGTGACATCGACAATAAAAAAATCCACAGTTGGAAGTCGGCAGGAGGTGAGACGGGGACCCAGCAGTCTTCAATTTCTGGTGTTTCTCCCTTACCTCCGAGATCTGAATCAGCGACAGAAACACGTTCTCTATTAACTGTCTGTCCCCGATGTCCCTTCCCCTTCAGCGCGTTGCCGCCGCCGCTGCCAAACTTCAACTGCTTTGGACTGAAAATGTCATAAGCGTGGGTGGTGCCTTCAATGTGTTACTGTTGTTTAATGACAGTCTTGTTTCCCAAGTGCAACCTGTGTTCCTTTAGCCTCCCTCCCTCCCTCCTGTTTTTCTGCAGTAGTAGAAGGTGTTTCCATCCTTTCCTTGTAGGTGAGCCCACCCCATAACACCCTCTGAAGGGGCTGCTGCAATGTCAGAGGTACCCAAGGACGAAGACCTCCCTACTCCCTACATTGTCAAAATAAGTCCTACCATTTTCTAGCCCACCAAACCTGTCAGACATTTCTGGGTTCTGTAATTCCCACAGTCCCTCCAAATGATCTCCCCACGTACTTCAATACCTTCCTACCCCATCCAGAATTTCCTAAGTTTGCTTTTCAGAATGGTTCTCATAGCCCAATCACAGGCAATTGTCCCATCACGAGAGGTGAGTTGAAGGAGAAGAGATTTTCAGTTAAGGTGAAAGGTTTTCAATTAGCTCCTAAAGATCTTAGCTAATTAATTAATAGAGACCCCCAGCTCCTCTCTGGCGTCAGAAGCTGTAAATGTTCTGGTCCAACAAGACTCAGAGCATTCCTGGAATCCTGAACTGCAGAGTTCTGCCTCTCCCCATCTCCAGTCGTCCAGTCGTCATGAAATCAGCAAAGTCAGCGATTCATCCTCTTTCTCACTCCCGGCAAATGTGAGAACGTTGACAAGGCACCTCATCTCTCTGGGCCTTAGTCTCCCATCTGAAACATGGAGAATTGAGGTTAGGTCGAGCTTTTCAAGATTTTTAAAACAGCAAAACCTCTGCCAACTTTTAAAAATGAAATCTTGCCAAGAACTCCCTATATAAGATCCCCATGCAAAAAGAGGTGTGGGGCTGGACGAAGCAGGGGTCAGACATTCAATAGCCACCTTCTCAGTCTTCTTGCTCTCCCATCTGAAACATGGAGAATTGAGGTTAGGTCGAGCTTTTCAAGATTTTTAAAACAGCGAAACCTCTGCCAACTTTTAAAAATGAAATCTTGCCAAGAACTCCCTATATAAGATCCCCATGCAAAAAGAGGTGCGGGGCTGGACGAAGCAGGGGTCAGACATTCAATGGCCACCTTCTCAGTCTTCTTGTCGAAACCCTAGCCCTCCCTGGGGTGAAGTAAACACCGCTGGGCTTGGTGTCTGTCAGTGTAATGTGATGTCAGTGTATCCTTGACATTAGCAAGAGCTACATACCTGCAACACACTTTGGCACCTCTGTGTATCACCGTCACAATATTTGTATCTAAATTGGCTCATTTTTAATACATTTTATTTTTAAGAGGAAAATGTCCTGCCTTTACCACAAATAGAAAACCAGCATCAATCGTCAGAAATAGAAAGTAAGCATACAAATAAGTACAAAGGAAACAAAGCAGCAATGATTCAATTTGAGCTGGATACTGTTGCCTGTGGGAGAGTCTGAACCTAAAGCCTGGCAGGCTCTCTCTCTATTAAGAAGGGACTAGCCATAGACAAAGAGTGGTTAAAGATACCAGCACCCAATGGAGACTTTCTCCTTAAGTATCAAGAGGGACTTAAACATAAATGAGAAGGGAATCATTTCCTGAGTCAGTGCTAAATAGTGCTGTATCCGAGTACTCCCTTCCATCATTTTGCATACGCTAATGATACATAGCCCACACTTCAAAAATTCCTGAGTTGGCTGGCTTATCTATGAGGTTCCCTCCAGCCCAGAGGTTCTGTAATTCTTCTCTCCCCTTTAGTTGGTCTTTGCTCA